ATGATGATATTCGAGAAACCCAATATTGAACCCATTATATTTGAGGTGATTTTGAGGTATGTTTGTTTTAAATGGATTTATTCAAGGTAGCACACGTCAGATGCATAAGTGAATAAAAATACGCGACGTGTTTTACAAGGATACAAGAAATAGATATCTTCTATCCTCAATATTATTCTTAGTAAGTAGCCTGTAATTTAAAGTACAATACTGCACACATACACACCCCCCAAAAAAGAAAGAAAAGAAGACCTAATATAAATAAAGAGAAACATGATTCTTTTTTCATGAGTTCTCAGCCACCTCATTACCGATCTTAATCACTTTAAATACCTCATACTCCTCCACATCAAAACTCCCTTCTTCGTGTAATGGAGGAGTATAATACTTCTTATGATAATACTTTACCTTATTATTGCTGCATAGTCTTAGACAAAAAAAATTTGGACCACCGTGTTGATATTGTCGAATGGTGTTATGATTCTCTTTGGCACGATGTAGTTTATAGTTCTTGATGCTTTGCTTGGGATTCATTGCATAGTAATAAAGGGTTGGTGTAGTATCATAAAAGTTTGAGGGACAGTTGTTTATAGAAGAAGGAGGGTCCATAGGAGAGAAGGAAGATGTTGAATCAGGGGATTCTGGAGAGGAGATGATGGTGGAAAGACTTGAAAAACTAGGATTTAACTTTCTGTGATTATTATTATTTGATGAAACAGTGGTTTTGTTTTTTGAATTACTGATTCCATCATAACAGTTGGAAGTTTTATGATCACTACAGTGATTACTTCTGTCTGCACGATCATAATTAGGAATATTCGTATTAATAACAGTACAATGATCAAAACTAAACAAAAATCCATCAATGGAACTTTCGTAAACTCGTGGGTTAGCCGACTTCCAATGTAACGGATTGTATCCTCCCAGTATCTTTCCTGACCCGCTCAATTTAAAAACACACAATGTGGGCCCCTGATTATCACAAAGCTCGTGGAACACTGCAGGACTAAAACCATCTCGGGAGCCTCTTAATAACAATCGAAATTCATAATCATTTGTAGATGTGGAAGTTACAGTAGAAATTGGAAGTGAATTCCTCGTGTCACCTCCTTTGTAACCACGAGATGATGATTCATTGTCAAAATAAGGCTGGTACGAGTTTAACGTGCTGATAGATGAATAATTAAAATCACCGGAAAACACAGCAGACATTGGTCGTTCTCTTTCTGAAATAGTGTCATCAATTCTCATCGAGCTGGCGTAAATTGCCGACATTGGTCTCTCTCTTCTATTTACATGCGACCTGTATTTATTCGCGTTACCAATTCTACCACTATTATCGGAATTATTTATCCCGTCAATTACTACAAATTCATCATTCTCCCTCAACCTTACTTGGTTAATTTGCCGAAGTCTCCGTGCGCTAACATTCCTTTTACTACTCCTTAAGATCACCTCCGAAAATCTCTTCACCATTCGTGTAGAAAAACTATCCTTACTTATCCAACTTGAAATTAACTTCGCCTGTTCATCGTTCAATATCAATGAATCAATCATCTGCGGTATTGCATTGTATGCCATTTCTGATCTTGATTTCCATATGGAGTGTGACGTCGATAGGTGTTTGAGGTGAACACGTTGATAAGTGCTCACATCTAGCAAGAATGCATAAGGTTGAACTTTCTGATAAAATTCCTTGGCGCCAATATCGTTAAAATTGATTAATGAAACACATTTCGCTAACGTGCATTGGAGTTTCTCAAAATCTTGTGTTTTCCATTTGACCAAACTTGTAGGTAACTCGGAATGCTGTGAGATTCCCCATCGGAGTACGTGATCCCATTTTCTTCCTTCGCTCATCGACGACATTAATTCTTTTTGTTGTAGTATGAAAACTAATTCAGGCTCGTTGAGGTGAAGAAATTCTGGTGAATCGAAGAGAATCTTCGAGTTCTTGGTGACTAAATCGAAAAGGTGTTGAAGAAGTTTCGTAAGTGACGAATGATGAAAACAGGTTTGATAGATCATTACTAAATTCTTTCGAATCCATTTGGGATGTTCATGAATTATGTGAGATTGTAGCGAATCGAATAGATCTTGGATACATAGTTCATCGCATGCAATCAAAAGCTTTAGTATTTGTTCGACCGTGAGATTCGTGATTTCTAGCACTCCACTGTAAATGTACCTATCCGTGATTGTTTAAAAATAAGATTGAGATGTGTTTCGATTTCTTTTCTTTTACCCTCTGCATTCCTCCATACATCCATTTAAAACAAACATACCTCAAAATCACCTCAAATATAATGGGTTCAATATTGGGTTTCTCGAATATCATCAT